CAACACAATAAATTAAGTGTGGAACAATTATTGCACTATACAACATAAACAGTGCTTTATCATTGAATAAGTCCTTTACTTTGTATAATACTGCAATGGATTGGGCTATTTTTGTTCTCAAATGATTTATGTGAGGTCTCCATGTCAGTCCCTTGTCAATGATGACACCCAGAAACTTCACCTCACGACTCTACAGATCTCGACACCATCAACACTAAATGGAACATCAACAGTTTTCTATTACTAAATATCACATAATAAGTCTTATCTAAATATAATGATAATTTATTAAGTCTAATCTAGGTTATAGTATTTTAGCAAATTCTGTTTGCATCATTACAAACATCCGTTCTACATTTTTTACAAAAAAAAGTAGTATCTGCAAATAAAACACATCTGAACAACCCTGACACATTTACTAAATAATTTACATATAAAATAAATAACTTTGGCCCAAGTACAGAACCTTGAGGCACTCCACATGTGATATTATCCAATTCAGATCTTATCATTTATTTGTACAAACTGTTTTCTGTCCTTTAAATAACTAGACACACACTGTAGTGCTGGTCCTCTAATACCGTATTTGTTCAATTTTTCAAGTAGAATGGTGTGGTCAGTGGGGTCAAAAGCTTTAAGTCAACATAAATACTAGCACAGTACTGTTTTTGATCGACAGCAGTTGTTGTTTGCTCTATAAAATCCATGAGAGCCATTGATGTGGAATTATTTGCTCTAAACCCATACTGACTGCTACTTAAAATATTTTGTTATCAATAAATTGATCTAATCTTGTCACAAATAATTTCTCTAAAATCTTTSAAAACTGTAGTAACAAAGATATTGGTCTGTAATTGTTGAACAAACATTTCTCACCATTCTTAAAAAGACCTTGGCTACTTTCACATCTGGAAATATACCAGTTGAGAATGATAAGTTACAGATATATGTAAAAGGTTCAATAACATAATTCATTATTTCCTTRACAAACATGTTCATGTCCACCCAGTCTGCTGATCTTTTGTCTGCAAGATTTTTTTTAAATATTCATGATTTCTTCTTTGTCGGTTCCATTAAGGAAAATACTGTTGGTACAACACGTAACTGTGTGATTGACATTATTATCTACTCTTGGTATTTTAGCTGCAAGACTTCGACCAACATTCACAAAATAATTATTAAATSCATTCACAATTTCATTCTGATCAATTTCATTTCCATCTTTTACAAAATGTTGTGAAATGTCTGATCTTGTTTTGTGGCTTTTTTAAGACACTGCTCATTACTCGCCATGTCGCTTTCATACCACTTTTACTTTTACTTAATAAATCACTGTAATATTCCTTCTTACGTTTTCTTATAATCCAAACCAACTTATTTTTATATTTCTTGTTTTTCTCTTCTGACTCTTTTGTTCTTGATTTCAGGAAGTTGTGGTATAGTTAAAAATGATCACATACTGTCTATTCTAATGCTGGTGAAGATTCTCAGTTATCCAGGTCATGATCAARCAAAAAAAGAGTTAAAAACAAAAAGAACTGCTGGACTTTCAATTTTAAATTCTTTTGTCTACACCAATACCAAATTAAGCTAACCACCATTGCCAATTCTACAAAAGACTATAAATAAGTTATTTTTAAACATAAACACCTGAAAATATATATAGTACAGTAGTATATTTAACAAAACCTAAATGCAAATACCAAATCCATGATCCCCACCCACTTGTCAATCATTTGGGGATGGCACCTGGGGTGGCCAGCCAGTAGTCATTTGCCACCCCAGCCACTTCTCTGGCTCCGCCCCTGGAATGAATACATATCACCTGCCATTTTCCCTGCAGGAGTTTTAAACTAAGACCATTTTATGAGTTGAGATGCATTTATAGCTGTTTTGGTCAAATACTGAAAGCTCTGTCAACACTTAAAGTGTCTGTTGAGGACGACTCTCAGCTCAACCARGCCAAATTTTAGCTCAGTAGTTTCAAAACTAAATTGCAGACATTTTCGTGTTTATTATTGATGAGCTGTGGCAGCCATCTTGAAATGGGGGGACTTCAAAAAGTAAAGWGATGAAAATTGATATTTAGTGATCACTTTCTAAGAAATTCATCATCCTGTGGTTTATATGTTACAAACAAATGTTTAAACCTTGTGGCCTCTCGCCTTCAGTGGTTGGCGATAGAACGAGGCTTGGTTTGGTTTTTACACAAAAATAGGACAACCTTGATTGATACAGGCCTGGAAACCACAAGGGGAAAATCAAAATACCAAACACCACCATCAACAATTCATTCTTTCTAGGTCACCACACACACACACACACACACACACACAC